AGCCCGGCCATCGCCGGGCCACTGCCCGGCCGCCATTCATTGTCATACCTTCATCGAATCGTTCCTTGTCACCCAAACTTCTGAATAAAACCCGTTGGATTTTCATTCGATCATCATCGGTCCTTAGACTAGCTTTTCAAATTACTGTAATCCACTCAAGTTTAGTGGAATCTTTTCACCTGGGCGAGGCCCTGTGGTTTCCCCTCTTCGGATTTTCCATGTAAAAAAGATCGGGTGTCTTAATATCTCTCTCTTTCTGCTTACGTGTTGGATCTTCGTACAATGCTAAGACGCTAAACTTTATTTTTCTCTATCGTCGCGAATATTCCTGGACGCAACAATACTTAAATTATTAAATGAATACAATTAATAAATTTAAATTTTTTAAATCTCATTTTAATAAAAATTTTGATATGATAATGTAGAATTTAACAACATATCAAGAAGTTGTGATGTAAGCTGCAACATGATGGTTGTGGCCTCCTTTACGTTATTGTTAGGGGTGCTAAAATGAGTTTTCAGGTTCAAATCGTATTTGATCAAATTTCAAAATACTTGACCCGAACCTGACCCAATTTATGAAATCGGCCATAAACTACGACCCGAACATGACATGCTTTAAACCCAACCTGACATGACCTGCTAACCCATGAAAGCGGGCGAGGAGGTGAGGTTATGTCTGACTATGCGAGCTCGAGGACTGGTGCAAGGCTACCAGTGCGGAAGTGCGGTTGAGCGGTGAGAGCAGAGAGCACAGTTGGAGTGTGAAGGGTGAGGCTGCGAGGATCGTGAGACAGATGAGATGCTAGCCAAACGAGTTGATTTTGAGTTCCCTGATTAACCCAAATCCAATATATCAATCATATTGAAATTTTAAATCCAAAAATGACCTCTTAGCTCAAACCTGTAATTTTCAGATCAGAACCAAATCGAATCTTCGAATTGTTTCATACCCTACTATTAGTCTCCCACTAACTAGATAGAATAGGCTTGATGTTTGCAAGAGTTTGTATTTTTATTTAGTTATATTTATATAACTTGAGTCAAATGTTGTGTAAAAGGTATATGCTATCTTAATAACTATGCACACATGGGGGTGAAAGATTAAAGTTCATACTTTACGATCCAGATCGTACTACATGATCCATTGATTAAAAATTTAAACTAATCATATTATATGAACTTGATCATATATGATGATTAGTTTAAATCTGAGCTCCCAGCCACCTATCAGATTTAGGAAAGAAATTTGAATTTTAATTTTGAACTAATCATATTGTACGAACACATTCGTACTATATGGTACTTTAAATCTCGCCTAAATTAATCTCTATAATTAGTCAATCAAATCAAGGTTTAACTAATGAGTTTGATTATATGGTATAGTCATGATTATACTTGATGATCATTATCATACCAAATAATTAACAAAGGTGATTTTTAATCATTCTAGGGATGATCCTCGATGAACCTTGATTATATTGAACTATTTATTTAGTATGATATCAATTATATTGGATGATTAATAGAGATCATTTTTTATCATCCCAGAAATCATCTAGGATGAACTAGTAAAATGCAATAATTATAATGTACAATCCATAATTTATATTGCATGATTTATTTAAGTTTCTTAAACTAATCATATTGGGATTTGTTCATCATACAGAATAAATAGGGATTTTTGTGCTAATCATACTATATGATTTACTGATCATATTATGTGAACAAAGTTAGTTGAATTAAAAAATAAGAGGTTTTTGGATCCTTTTATTTAAACATCTCTTAATTTATTTAAGACACTCTTTTGGCTACTAAAAATTTTTTTAGAGAGTTTTTTTAGGGGGTGTGTCTTCTTGAGAGATCTTGGATTTTATAGAGAAAGGGGGGAAGTTTTGTTAGAGGGAAAAGTTGTGTGAGTGGGGATTTCATGCAATTACTCCAAGAAAGCTTATACCTAAGTTTCTTAATGTGTTTTTGTTAATATTGAGAGAAGCTCCAAGGAGAAAGCCTTCAAGGCTAATGATCGTTAGTACTCCACCACACTAAGATGGTGAAAGGGATTCAAATTCAAATTCTTTGCCTTATCAGGAGGGTGAAATTGATTTTGGTACTCTGTCACATCAACATAGGTCAAGTTTTAATCGAACCACTATAAAATTTATGGTGTGCTCATTTCATTTTTCTTCTTGTATTTTACTCTTTATAGTTTAATTTCCTTCAAGTTATATTAATACAAAACTATATTGAGATTCGTAATTACTTTGGTTTAATTTTTGTTAGAGAAAAAATTACAAAAGAAAATAATCTAAAAAAAATCATATTTATGTTTTTTACAAAATCGAAATAAAGGAAAACATGCATTTAAATTTTTTATATTATTATTGTTAGATCAAGATTAATGTTGATATTAATTTTTTTTTTTTAGGGAGTGATTTTGAAAAGAAAATTTTAAAAGACCAATTCACGCCCCCCCCCACCCCCCCTTCTTTGTGTGCCTTGTGCTTATTCTTGTTGGAATTGGTAAATTAAAAAATCTCTTGGATTTAAAAAATTGAATCCATTAATTTACAAAGCAAGTTAATTTAAAGTTTTAAAATAAAACTTTTCAACAACATAATAAAAATAACTTGCAAAAAAATAAGCAGTGAAAATATAAATGACATAGATTTATAGTGGTTCGGTCAAACACGACCTACGTACACTCCCTAAAGTCTCCCACTTCATGTATTGTACTATTACCAAAGTGACTCTCATTTTGCCCCCACAGCAAGGAGGAGAAGCTTTTATAAAACTCTATTCCACCAATTCTCGGTGTGGCAGAGAATCGTCTTCCTTTCACACCCTCTAAGTGTAGGCAGAGAACCTTCATCATTTCACACCCTCCAAGTATAGGCAGAGTACCTTCGGTTGCTCACACTCTCTAAGGAAGAGTGAAAAACATAAATCACATGCAGAGATCCTTACCTTTGAGTAACCTTATGAACTCTTCACACTCTATTAGGAAGAATTCTCTTTCAAACACTCTCTCACACTCTCTCCTTCAATTTCCCTTGAAAATTCATAAAGAAAAAGATTTGTAACGTCATTCTTTAATGGACCTTCTATACAAAAGACATGAAAAATTATCTAGAAAATTGAATTTTTCAATTTTGATCATGTACGATCGTACTGTACGATCATATATTTGTATGTATGAACAGTATAAATATTGTTGTGTATGAACCAGTTGTGAATCAATACAAAATTATTTCGTACATGATTATCATCCGGTATGAACTAAGTTTGTCAGAGACAAATAGTTAAAAAATCTCAATTTTCATCTGTACAAAATGTTAGGACGAAATGAGCGAGAACAGACCCGAGATGTTCATCCTAGTATGACACGGGAATCATCCCGTACGATTCAGACTTAGAAAAAATTCTTCGTACGAGAAGAAAATAGAGGTGTTCGTCCCTGTATAAAAAAATTTATCGCCCCGTACGATCTTCATCCGAGAACAAAATAGAGGCATTCGTCCCTGTACGAAAACTTTTATCATCCCGTACGATCTTCGTCCGAGAACAAAGCAAAGGTGTTCATCCCTATACAAAAGTTGGGATCATCCCGTACAATCTTCATCCGAGAACAAAATAGAGGTGCTCGTCCCTATACAAAAATTGGGATCGTCCTATACGAACCATACTTAGAAAAATAATTTCATTTATGTTCGTTCAACTGCTCGTTGGGAAAAATAGTTGACC